CGAGTGTAAGTGCCATAGGGGTCACACTGGAAAGGAGCCATTACAGCCTGACTCTCAGTCCACCAATCAGCCAAAACGCAGCTAAGTCTGAGTTATTCCGTCACTTGGCAACCTTTTTAGCGCACCTTCATAGCTTCAAGTGCATCAGGCTGTTTGTAGTGAGGAATATGCTCTGAGACCGTCAACCGCACTCTCTCTCTCTTTCCACTCCCGGGCATCAGCCCACTTTCTGCACTGGTCAATTGTCTGATGCTGGGATGGGTAATCGCCTGTCTAAGGAACGCATCGCATGCACGGGAGTGTCGACGGGTTTCGTCGGATTTTATTTCCTACACTACACCGCTGCCTTTATTTTGGTGAGGGATACTTGCAGGCTAGGACTGACTTGCGTTGCCCCCTAAACAGGACATGGGAATAGGGACGCCCGCCAAAGTACTAAAGGTGGACCAGGCCATAATTCCGGAAACGCCAAAATATTGCCTTCTCCTAACCCCCACAAAAAGGGACAGAATTGTTATCACGCAAGTGTCCGAGTGAGGCCTGTGTAGTACGAGGAGAGTGAGTGAGCCAAATTCTGTGTAAGTCACTGCTCGAAAAAAAGAGAGGTCTTCAGGAGCAGCTGCCGCCAATGCAGTGCTGACGAATTCCACGAGCGTTCTGTCAGTGCGGTTACCAAGGCCTCCACAGAGATGCTCTTTATTGGCGCAGGAAGGAGTACCGGTAAGGACTAGGGAGACTGGGATGGCAATTTCCGGCTTCTTGGAATTCGTCAGCTAGTCGTACTCAAGCCCAGGCTTTGATAACCCTGGGTGGACATCCAAATTCTTTGCGGCAGCCTGTGAGGGCCCAAGATTGAGCTCCGTGGCGCAAATGGGCGGGCATGTTCCGTAACCTGATCCGTTGATATTCCCGATCTCAACTGACAGGATAACGTGCCCGTGAATGAATGGTGGAGCGTTGGATTATTTGCCGTTCAATGACAGAAGAGCGTGGATTCGAACACATGGTCATGCGAACCTGGGGTTGACCATCCTAGACTCCACCGTCTTTGCCGGTATTTCTTCCTGCACCAATACCGGTCGCTATGGGACTGCCTGAGAGAGCTCTAGACGTAATGGGACAAACGTGCTCCGTAATCTGAGCAGTAAATGCTCTTACGTTCATAAACAGTAAAATCACATCTATAGTCTCCAAGTCAGTCTGATGGGGTACACGATGTCTGAAATGAGTACGAGATATTGCAAATTATTGATACGTGGTTTGGAATATGCCATAGGGGCTTTCGTAAAAATTGTAGTACAACCACATCCCACCATCCTGAAGTCATTTATCCTCTTATATCCACCCATACACATGTTTCCACTCAACTGCAGGCAGACCTTGCAAATGAGAATTGACCAGCGTATAAACATCAGGATGCATTTTTCCCACCAATTTAGGAATGACCTACGGGTGTTGAAAAGTTGTTGCCTTCTGTAAAAGGGTGTGTTTATTTTCTCGGCCTAGCAGTGCTCATTCGATCAAGAGATCACACAAGTTTCTGGCATGCGTTGACGCTTAGCGCGTTCGAACAGGCGGCTCCTTCATGCACCACGCGCGCGCCGCCGTGGGACGACGTCGTACCCGGAGAACCTCATAATTACGTAGTTGCGGCACAATTCTTCGAAGGGAGGAGGGGGGGGGGGTGGGAGAGGGGGCACAGCAAATGCTCGCAGCGATGCTTGAATCACGTGAGATCGGGTGGACTGGCGCTGAGGGTAATTACCACCCGGCTCGTTAATTTACGCCAACCTCTCGACGTCCGCACCGCAGCCTGAGATTTCAAATTTGTTTTCAGGCGGGTTTCGAGGAGGGGACAAGGTGCGCAGGTAGGAAGGGAGGGGTGGGGAGGCATCGTTTATTGGGTCCACGCTGGGGCGAGGGTGATGACAGTACGCGTTCGTTCGAGCGCCATTTCGTGACCCCTACGCTGCCAACATTGACGTGACTTCAGTCAATTCACACCGTTATCGAAACGATCTGGAATTAAGGCCCCAATGCTTGTCTCTCTTATCCAACAATTATCACGCGATGACGAGTTATCAAGCTGTTCTCTCTACGCGACAGTCTGCTACACGGACAAATTATGGCCTCCTAGCAGTTATCCTGGGACGATGGTTCGGAAAATTTCGAAGAAAAAAGGCCTAAACAATTACGTCTCTCCCATGTAATTCCTTTGTAAGCAGTACATATTTTGGTCCCGGGGGCTAGAATAATCGGACAGATGGACAAGTGAAACACAAAGAAGACATCAACACTTTTACAAGAGTTTGTACCGTGACAGCAAGTTTACTTTCAGAAGTAGCTACAGAAAACGAAATTCCGCCTTTTTCACCAAGTCGGTCTTTGCATTGTTATACCAAGTCTTCCGTTGATTTTCAGCACCCCAGCGCCCCATTCCCTCCTCCTCCTCCTCCTCCTCCTCCTCCTCCTCTTCCTCCTCCTCCACCAGCACCACCAAGTCGGTGTGGTCGTCGGCCGTCAACTACTCCTTCATATAATTTACAAGCCCATCTACAATTGATCTGAGGCATTGCCCTTGAGGAAAATTTGACTAAGATGTCTGTTTTATAGTGAAACCAGCTTTTGAGCTGTAAACAACGAAAAAGATAAAGTTCATTTAACGGTCGCCCAATGCTTGCGGCCATCATCAGTCTGTCATAGAACAATTTCACAACTAAACTGAATGGCCATATCGTTGCTGGCACCTTCAGGGCTTAACTGCCTCAATAAGCTTGCAAATCCCGTCATATCAAAATATAACCACCCGTACCCCTTGAAATCGAACGCAGACCGCACTGTATCCCATGAACGCGAAAACCCTTAACAGCAAAGTTAGTAAATATTAGCATACTTCGCCTAGGCAACACAGCCAGATCCGCCAGCACAAGAGACTACTTTCTGGGTGGCGTAGCCTTACAAGACGTCGAAGTCCAAAGGGACCTCTGTGTGCTGTCGACGAACGCTCTAAAAGCGTCCGCTCATTGTTCGGGAATGGCCAAAAGCGCAATGTCCGTACTGTACGTCATCAGGCGTGCCGTTATGGATTTTGACGAAGACACTTCTTCTCTAAGACTTGTGGAACAGTCGTCCGGCAGCACTCGGAGTACGGCGTACAAGCCTGGAGACCGTGAGCGGTCGAAGACCAAAACTGCCTCGAAAGAGTTCAGAGTAGAGCCACGAAGATGGTTGGGAGTCAAAGCTCCTTTCCTTATGCAACCGGCCTAGTAGGTCTGAACTTCTTCCCTTTAAGTTACAGGCAACTTCGCGGAGACGTCTTGCAAGCATTCCGCATTGTAAAGAGGTTGGATTGCAGACTGGTCTTCGAGGACTTTCTTGAATTTGCTACCACGACCAACCTCCGAGGTCACCCGTTTAAACTGCGCACTCAGCAGGCAAGGCTGGATGTGCGGAAGTTCTCCTTCTCTGTTCCAGTGGTCAAACCATGGAATGCCCTCCCTGCAGATGTTGTGATGTCACCATCCATGCGAAGCTTTAAAAAGAACCTTGACCTATTCATGTTCCGAAATGACCAAGAGCGATGAGAGATCGAGCTCATCCTCTGTGACTTACTCATATTTCGTCCTACCACTATGGACTCGTCTAAACTATTTTAACTCAGAAAAAGTTTCTGTACACAACAATTTTTTACCTTGAAAATAGGGTACTCGAAGGCCTACGCCTATTTCCCTCAGTAAACTGAACTGATCTTAACTAAACCATCCCGGGGTTATTTTCCAATGATGATAATAATGCCTTCGAGAACGCTACAAACGGAACCAGCTCCCCAAACTAGCGCACAAATGTCTAAACTGTGGATTTCCTACTACGTTCTGAATCGCTTCGGAACGTAACCATGCCTCCCGAACAATAAATCAATGCAATTACCCTCTGTACCGCAGCAATAGAAGTTAATTTCCATTATGCTGCCGCATAAAGTAACAACATTTTCCTCTCCTGCGGCTTTGTGGCGCACGCAGCCGTCGAACTAAAGCCAAAATCTGCACGTGTTCAAATGGGCGTAGGTTGAGCTATCAAAAGTCCAAATAAATTGTCAAGGCAGAGAAATGGACAAAAGTGCCTTTTCCGTAGTCGTTGGTCACAAATGCGGGCGTCCACCCAACAAAATTAAGCAGCAATCATGTGCGTATGTACTTAAGGGTGGTGAGATGTGCTTGTACTACAATCTTTACGAAAGCCTCTATGGCATATTCCAAACTACGTATTGATAATTTGTAATACCTCCTAATCATTTCAGACACCGTGTACTCCATCTGACTGATTTGGACCCAATAGTTGTGATTTTGCTGTTTATGAACACACATGTCTGGATGGTGTAGGCGGGTTTTCACAAAGTGAGTCATTTATCCTCTTCTATACACCCATACACATGTTTCCACTCAGCTGCAGGAACTCGATTAATATCCTCCTGAACAATGAATTGAACTCTTTGTTCATCCGTCCCACGTAATTGATGACACCGTCAAGGCGACAACAATCAGCACGTCTTCGGCGGAAGATGACGGTTTGCCCTAATTGCCCAATGCGAAAGGCAGGAGAGGAAGGACACACTTTCATTTACATTTTGGCCGACTGTTTTCGGAGGGTTTGTTCTGGCTAAACGTTTTTTTTTCTTAACCGAAGTGCGAAATAATACTACCCGTGCAGCTTCCTACCTATCCTTACACAGTTCAGTTCAGGCAATAGTTAATGTCCTTATTTGGGTGTATCGAAAGACGCTCTCAACAACTGTTCCGGCCTGCAAGTCACTGCAATTCTCGTTGCTTCTGCAGATAGCCAATGAGAAATGACGCCATGATCGAGCCATGTCACCGGTGGCAAGAATTACTGTGTGGTGCTGGAAGAAAGTGTCTAAATTTAGCAGAAAAAAGATCATAAAGAAAATGAGAAATGGTCGACAGAGGAGAGGGTGGATTGCCTAACAGAGGCGAGGGTTGTCAGAGCACTTGGAGGCTCTGCTAAATGGAGATGATAAATTACCCGACGGTCTTGCTTTCTGTCTCATTTGTAATGCCCGTCACCGCCAAGCTTGTTGAAACAGCTTTTTCAGTTTAATTAGACCGCGTTTTCCTGGAGGGGGGGGGAGGGGGGCAACTGCAAGAGGAGGCCTCACGCTTTTTACTTAACTAAAAAAGCCACGAATGGAGGCAGACCGAAATGATCGTTTCCGACCTCCTAACTATCATCAGTCGGTCGCATCTTGAACCCGGGTCGGAAGTACCACAGACCGTTCAGAGCTCAGCCATGTCTCGACTAACCGGCTCATGCTGGCCAATATTCCAGAAATGGTCATTCCAATCTCCTCGCCTCCGTCGGCAGCACCTGTCGATTATTTACTATTTACCGCCTCGCAACTGCCTGTGAAGGCTCCAGACTAAAGTTAACCGACAAAGTTTGATCGCCCGTGTTTCATATTACGGTTAGAATAGATCGGGGAGCTCCATCTTCCGGAACCTTGAGGCTGATAACTAGGCAGGGTGAGGGTAGATGACACTGATTGTGTCTGAACAAGAGCTGTATACCTTCGAAATACCGGATTCGCACTCCTCCTCCTCCTCCTCCTCCTCCTCCTCCTCCTCCTCCTCATCATCATCATCGTCGTCGTGGTCGTCATCATCATCATCACCATCATCTGAGAGCAAGCTATGTGATCGCCCCGCAATCGACATGACAATGACTTCAGCCCTGCTGATGCATGTTCAACCATCCTCGTCCAGAGATGCAACAGATGCAGTCCACCTCCCCGGACAGTATGGTGAAGGACCCCACTTCACTGCCATACGTTTACGGGTGGGGCAGCACGCCAGACAGTAAGCTGAAGAAGTGCCATAGTACACAGAAATCGTTTGTATTTCAGCCGAAAGTCATACCGCACACTTTCGTAGTAGTAGTAGTAGTAGTAGTAGTAGTAGTAGTAGTAGTAGTAGTAGTAGTAGTTGTTGTTGTTGTTGTTGTTGTTGTTGTCAGTGCAATGTCTGCAACGGCCTGCAAATGGATGCCAAAATAAAACCCCACATGTCTTGACAGTTAAGCGAGGTCCTTTACCATACTGCTGTCCCTCCGGTCTCCGTGAAATCCCTACGGTGGGTGTAATTAGAAGGCGTTTGACGGTTAGAGATGTGCAGGAGAGCCTGCCAAAAGAAAGGACGCTTCAGAAGCGACTAAGCCCACTGTTAGGGGACTAGGTGTTGTAGTAGCACACACTGGCCCAAATCCGCCATGCGCAGCAAGGTCCTGAAAACCAAGGTCGAGGAATAGTTGACCTAACCCTTAACCCCAACCCCAACAGTAGTGTGTCCATCAGATGGGGCTACATAACCATATCTTGCCGATCATGCCAATATAGTATTTGAGAATCAGGATTTGCATGCTTTCCGAACGCCAGAATACTGACTACATGATTCCCACGAGCACACCCTATTATTATTATTATTATTATTATTATTATTATTATTATTATTATTTAGGTGCAGAAACGAACAGTCTTGTATCAGATGCCTACCTGTCCGATGCGAACGCGAAGTTAGGATCGTTGCCCAAATTTAGTCACGTAGAAAGAGCCGGATAAATTGGACTTCTAACCGACAGGCCGCGGGTTCGAACCTCAGGGGTTGCTTACCTCGTGGTTGGATATGGCTGGCTGATGACGGCTAACAAACCCAAAATAACTATTCCAGTATCTCTCGCCTTTGACTATATCACTCGCCACTCTGCGGCTTATGGCGGGCCTCGAGAGAGAGAGAGAGAGAACCCCAAGACACACCGAGTCGAGTGAGTTCCCTGGTGCGATCGGTGCGCGCCCCTCTACCAGGGGGACTTTTTACTGTTGGTTAATGTGGGGTTAAGATAAGCGACACGACATGCTCATAAATTTCCGTGTGAGACTGGGTTGTGGGGCAGGCGTGAGGGCCATATCCCCCAAAAAGACCGTTAGACGTTGACACAGCATGGCACGACAACGTATCCTCACCTCGACCTATATTCCTTTGAAACTGTGTGCTTTGCAGGAAACCCGCCACACCCCAATGCTTCCAGTGGGGGCCGACAGGTAGTTAAGGGCTTCGCTAATGGGCTTTCAGCAGTTCACTTAGGTCACTGCAGGTGGAAGACAGGAGACTTTCTGTGACTCATTGGATGCAGCGCGGTGGTAGGCCATCCACTCTTACGCGACATAAGCTGCATGCTCTTCGGCAGTTTAGCAGCAGACCAGGACGACAGAAATCTCAGAGAGACGAGGCTTACCCGGCAGCCTAGTTGAGGACTACGATGACACGTCATAGGGTGCGGCTGGCATATCGGCTGTCAGGGACCACGGGTGTGACGAAAAAGAACACGGCAGCGAACCACTGCAACGGTACGACCTTCGGATGAGACTAGGCACTTATCTGGCAAACTGGTTATCTATAATGAAAAAAGGCCCTGAATCATAAGAGTAGTATGGCATGACGAACGTTGTCAGCCATTCAAAAAGGGTCTAAGTGGTCGTCAGACAGAGTTCTGGAAGGATATTGCTGACAAAGACAAGCAAGACTAGAATGGTCATTTCTGGCTTATTAGCCGTCGTCAGCCAGTCGTACTCACCCTACCCCCGAGGTGTGGAACATCTGGGGCTCGATCCAGGTGTTCCACATTTTGAGGTTGCGTATGACTGGGTGACGACGGCTAATAAACCAGAAATGGCCATTCTAATCTCCCTCGTCTCCTTCCGTAGTGTTAGCCTGCCTGTATCACATGCCGCTGTGCAACTGCTGGTGGGGATCGAGAAAGAGAGAGCCTCGAGGCACAACGGGACGATTGGTGAGCGACCGTCTACCATTGTATATTCCCGATCGCAATTTAACAGGACAACAAGCCCGTGGCGCAGTGGTTAGAGGCGTCGGACTTCTGACTAACAGGTCGTGAGATCGAGCCCTGGGTGTTCCACACTTCGGGGTTTGGGTACGACTGCCTGACGACAGCTAATAAGCCAGAAATGACCATTCCTGTTCCCCTTGTCTTTGTCGGTAAAACCGTTCTGCCTATATCATGCACCGTTGCGCGCCTACCGGTTGAGCTCGAGAGAGAGAGAGAGAGCCCGTAAGGCACAACGGGATGAGTGAGTTCCGTAGAAATTATTGGTTAGCGTCCCTCTACCAGAGTTCTGCGCTGAAGAGATGAATATAGAGACTGCAAGCGCAACCGCTGCCTAGCCGGGGTATGGACTTGACAATGGTCACTCGTACTAGGAAGAGTTACTTGTCACCAAAAGCCAAAAGTCCCCAGCAAGGGAAGCCCAAGCTTGCGATTAAGGTGGCGTAGCTCACCCTCCACACTGACATATAGCATGAGCATCTCCGCTGAGGATATTTTTTTCGCAATGAGAGAAATGAGCGCCCAAGGCAACCCTTCGCTACGTCAGCAACAGTGGGCTTCAACGAATCTCTTCGAGAAACCTTGACTAACGCTTCTCTGGGTAGTCACTGCAGCCAGGAATTCCGGCTTGAAACCATAGCTGTTAGGGCAGTGCGGCATGGACCCCCGTATTGCTGATGATTTTGCGCGGAATTCCAGGAGGTTAGGGTTAGTATTAAGTTAAGTGGTCAATGTTAAAATTAGAGAACGTGAATGTGTACCCTCTGGGATTTTGCACAAGGCCACATGCGGTGCGGGGATCCGTGTCCCCATGTCTGACCCCACTGCCTTACATCAAAGAAAGAGGCCTGAGGTTGTCTGTTGCTTCGCGCACTTTCATTGATGTCAGGTGTGCGTGAATGCCGCCAATGTTTTCTCGCAGCATATGTTTCGATCTTAAAAGGTTCTAATGATCACGATACCAGGTTCAACATAGCTGAACGTATGCGAGTGCAGTCAGGGCTGTCCTCACCCACGTATGCAAATTTGAACTCCAGGACCCCAAGACTCACGTCTGACAGCGGGCACCTCTGGCTGGTCGTTGGGCCCTAAACCACACTGCTGATATAAAATGTCCCCGTTCGAGTCATTCGAGGGCGTCGATGCACAAAACCGTCTGCGAGGGTTCTCAATCAGTTTTACGGTAAAATCACCATAAAACTCCTGCCCACCTTGTGGCTGCCGCCAGTATTGATCGACGTGAGGGGTGCGAGGAAGTGCAGTCGGGAGCTAATGCTAATTCTACAATTTCTGGTATTTGAACGCACAGAAACTGACTTTACCGCACATCTCGTGAGAGACGAACCCCGGTAAGGCCACTTTAAATGTGTGAAATCTGTCAGGGCATGATAAAACGTCTGACATTGCGCTCATTGACTTAAGTACCGGGATTCGTATGACCTTAGTTATTCTAACCTCGGGGGTTGGGTATGGCTACCTGGCGACGGACATTAAGTCAGTAATGGCCATCGCAGTCTTCATTGCCTTTGTTGATGTTCCCTCCTGCAGTATCACTGGTTATTATGCGATTGCCTTGGCTGGAGAGAGAGGGGGTCGTAGACTGAGCTTCAAGAGTCAGCGGGAAAAGAATGCTTGAGAGCTTGATCTATGAATGTCCATTCAACGGTCGTTAATATTCCCGATCGCAGCCGACAAGAGGACGGCCCTTGGATCAATGGTAGAACGTTTGACTGCTTAGTGCCCAATGGCGAAAGAAACCGGGATCGAAGCCAAAGGCCAGGGACATATGGGGCTGGGTATGGCTAGCTGATGATGACTGACAATCCGGAAATGGGCACTCCGATCTCTCTTGTCTTTGTCGGAATTCCCCTCTGCATATACTGCTAGCCACTGTGCAAATGTTCACGAGGGTTCTACACTGAGCCCCGGAACACAACGCGACGTGCAGGTCCGTAACCCGACCGGCGAACACACTTCTAGCATAGGCTACTACTCCATATTGCGATCGCGAGGACAAGGGGCCCATGGCCCAATGGTATGGTGTTGGACTTAATAGCCCTCCATCACCATCCCAGTCGTCCCTGTCCTAATCGATATTCTTCCCTGCAATTATATTTGCTGTATGGGAGTGATGTGCAACGTTCTATCCTGATTTCTGTGTCCCCGGCGCCAGGAGGCGGTCGTACAGTGTTGCCGATAGGGACAGGGGAGGCGATAATGGTGAGTTCTGACTTTTCGCCCTCATTAGCCAGTCGTGCCTGAACTGTAGGCTGTCAAGGCTTGATGTCTTGGCAGGGGCCAGTTGGCAATCAAACAGGTCGACATCTTACCGCCTCAGCCATACCCAGTCGGCTACGACGCGATTGTCATTCACCGATACTCATTTTGACCCAACTGGGAAAAACTCGGCTACCTCAGTGGGATTTCAACCCAGGACAGCGAGGGGAAGGCCTGAGTACGGCCAACGCTCCAGCCACCACCGAGAGCCGTGAGTTTACCGATATATGCTGGCTGTAGGAGGGGTGCGAACATTTCCATTCTATCGATGAGCTCCGGGTCTAGAGCCCCATGCAGGTGCATTTGGATCGCGCCCTGTGTTTGAGGCATGATTGACTGATAGAACCAAATGGACCGAAAGGCTAATTCTAACTGAAGCCCTCCTTGTTGGCGGCAGCTTTCGGGCCTCGAAGCACCACAACACACAACTAACCG